TGTGCTCCCACCTCTGAGGCCCCTCCTCCTCCCATCTCAGCTCCTCCTCTGCAGTGCGGTGGTAGATGTGTGGGGCGCGTGGCCTTCCCCTGTTGGGTGTGGAAGCACCGTTTTCTCCCTGGTTCTCCCTGGTCCTGTTCTTACACTAGCGTGATTGGGGGACCAGCCGCGTCCTCGTCTTGCCTCTGCCCTTCATCCTGCTCCTTTGCCAGCTGAGTGTTGTTTCCCTTCCATCAAGTCCTAGTGAGCAGGGCTCTGTGGTTTGCAGGACGAAGGTCACCCCTTAGGCTCATGTGTGAGGCCTTTACACTCTGCACGTGCCCCCGTCTGGTGGCCTTTCTGCCTTTCCCCTCACCTCCTTCCAAACTCCACCTGCCTCTGCCCATAGAACGTGTCCTGACTTTCCCAGCACTGGTATGAGCAGTCTTCCTGGTGTAGAATGAACTACCCCAGCCCACCCTCTGCTCTGCCCTTCCCTTCAGTCCACCTGAGAGCCTCCCTCCACGGAAAAACTGCCTGGTGCCTGGTGCCTGCCCTCCCCTGACTTCCTGTGGCAGTCAGCGGCCTTCTCAAGCAGTCATCCGCCCATTTAGTGTGTCTTATCAAGCACCTGAGTGCCATCCACTTCCTAAACCACACCCCTCCGGAAACTCTAGAAACTCTGATAAATGATGGTAGTTAGAGAAAGGCTCCGGGCCTTTTGTTCATAGGGTCGCTATGAGTCGTGCTCGACTCAACGGCAATCAACAACGACTATGTTCCAGCCTTCTTGATCAGAGACCGATCAAAGAGTAAAAACCCGTGTTGTTGCTGTTGTCCGGTGCTGTTGAGTCAGTTGCGACGCCCAGTGACATAAGTGTGACACAGTGGAGTGCAGCCTGCCCTGCGACGGCCTCATACACCTCGGCTGGGTATAAGCACGTTGTTCTGTCCACTGTGCCAGTCCTCTTGGAGGGTCTTGCTTCTTCTCAGTGACACTGTGACCAAGGATCACGTCCTCCCTCCTCCAGGGACTCGTCTCTTCTTGATAACAAGTCCAAAGTATGAGACTCTGCTCTTCCTAAGGAACTTTCTGGGTACACTTCTTCCAAGACAGATTTGTTTGTTCTGGAAGTACATGGTCTATTCACTCTTCTTGGTCAACCGTGATTGTTGGGTGCTGTTAAGTCTGACGTGAGTCACAGTGACCCTGAACGGCAGACCTGAGCCTTGCCTTTTCCTGTGCCCTTTCATCATTTCTGACACACCTGAACCCATATTGAGGGTCTTCCTCTCTTTCACCGACTCTCCGCCTTTCCAAGCACAATGCCCCTCTTTAATGTACAGCCTCTTCTAGCACCGTGACCGAAGGGTGTGAGACAAAGCTTTGCCATCCTGGCCTCCAAGGAGCACCCTGGCTGTGCCTTCTCCAAGATAAGCCTGCCTGTCCTTCCGCAGCCCGCAGGCCGTTCACTCCTCTTCACCAACGCCGGGGCTCACAGGTGCCAGATCTTCCTTTGTCATCCTTAGTTAGTGCCCGGCTCCCAGATGCATAGCAAGTCATTGAAATGACCATGGCCTGAGTCAGGCACATGTTGGACTTCAGATAGATAATCGTTGTTCCTCAATAATTTGAAGGCATCATTTCTTCTTCCGTCTTCTTAGTCACTGCCAAATTTTGCCTGATTTTATAGAAGGATATTGAATTTTATATATATTTAAATTTTACATGAGGATATTGAAACTATTGTCCTCTGGTCAGGCATTCCTTCATGGTCAAGGTGGAATCTTTGCTTTTTAATACTCTTGAAGAAACCCATTAGCAGGTTAGCCCAGTGCACCCTGGTTTGATTGCCTGGTCTCCACGTCCATGGCGGTGGTTGTGGGACTAGGTCAAATGAAATCTGCGACTTCAGTTTTTTTGAACTTAAGCTGTTGCTTACTGGTATAGTTTGAGGATTTGATGAGGAACTCTTGATGGTGAGTTGCAATCCATACTGCAATCTGTAGTCTTTGACCATCATCATGCTTCAAGTTGTCTTCTGTTGTGTTAGGAGCGGATAAATACCAGAGAGAGGAAGTCTAGGAAGAGCTGGGGTAAGGGGTAGAGGTGAGGGAAGTACTGAGAAGGTGCTGAGTAAAGAGCGGAAGCAAATGAGGGCCACCTCCCGCCTCGGGACTACCTGAGGGACGAGCACGCCAGGCTGGGGACGCAGCAGGTGCCAAGTCCTGAGATGAGCATGTTCCAAGCACTGTGAGGACAGGTGAACGCGGAGCACAAGCCGCGACGGAACTAACACGAGGCTCTTGTTGGCTTTCGAGAGATCTTTGCCCTTTACTTGGAGAGGGACGAGGGAAGCTGTCGGAGGCGGTCGTGCGGAGGGCGTGGGCTGGCTGCTGAGCCGAGAGCGGGCTGCCTGGAGACCAGACAACAGGCAGGCTGCCCAGGAGGCTCTGCTGTATCTCAGATCAGAGAAAATGGACCAGAGAAAGAAGTGGTTGAATTCAAGTGTTTTCAAGATAGATGAGGACAGTTTGCTGTTGGACAAGATATGGGA